AACCCCAAAACCCTCAGCCAAGAGACCAGAAGAAACCATGAGATCAATGACCAGTACAAGAGAAATGGCCTGGCCCCATTTGTGCCTTTGTCAGTACCTTACTCAAATTGAGTTTATTTGGGTTTTTCTCACACCACAAACCCAGACTGACTGAAAAATAAATGAAATTCCTTTTGATGTTCAAACAGTGCATCTCTCCTCCTCTCAGCCTTGCTAAAAAACATGCAGAGAAGCGTGCTCAGTACCTTCACTTGTCACAGTCTCAATCCCAAAGCACCTGCAGGTAATCCCTTTAAGCATTTCCCACACAGAGACATCACTATATGTCTGCAGAAATAGGTCACGGAATTTCAAGCAGACAACGATCAGAGAACTGTAAGATGTTTAAACATTTGGTTATTTATCTCTGCTAAGTGACAGGGTATTCTAATCAGCTAGATGTAGCCCAACCTCAACAGCAACTGAACCCTAAAATAATCCCATTAATTTGGGCTCTTTATTTATTTTCTGATCTAAACAGAATGTTAATTAAAACTAACAGGCGGAATCTGAAGGCACTCGGGCAGAGGGACAAGATCATGCAAAATGAGGTTTTCTGTCATACTTTCATATTTTAAGGCAGTCTCTCAGTAAGGCCTAACTCTGCACATACAGAAATGATTAATCACTTCAAATATCCTTTCCAAGCTGGCACAGACAGGGAGACAAACCCTTCCCATCAGTATCAGGGAGGACAGAGTAAGTGGAATACAGAACCAGCTCCTGCCCATCTGCCTGACTCAGAATCTTCTTATCCTTCCTGAAAGCAGGTCAGAAAACGTGAGGTGCTCACCAGCTTCCCCAGCAAAAGACAAGGGACTAAGAGGAGCCTTTGCCAGCAGGAGGGAACTCACTCAGAGAGTGCCTGAGCCATGGGACAGACTCTGCCCTCCTGCCCCTCCACTCCCAATTCCACTCAGCACCTCTGCAGCCTGACCTCTGGCAGTACAGGGACAAGGGGCCGAGCACTAACAAGGCTGTAACAAGGACCCTGCTGCTCTGTTGTCCTAATGAACCCACGGGGCCAGGAGCTTGTGCAGCAGCCATCTGGGACATTCAGAGCAGAAAAAAAACAGCTTCCAAGCCTTGTTCATGTCTTGGTTACAAACAAACCCCCCCTCTACAGAGTTTCAGACATTTCCCAGTTTTATTGGCATGAAATCTGCAGGCAAGTGTGCCGAGGAAATGGCCACACCAAATCCTGATGGGTCCCTGGGAGGAGAAACAACTGAAGGGAGAGAAGCTGCTGTGGAAAACAGCAAGTGGGAGTAAGGCAGCACTGCGAGCAGGACACGGGAATAAAAGGAGTTTCCTGTGAAGAATTCTCATGAAGAAGATGCAAGATGAGTGAGCCAAAAGATTAAATGGCAAACAATGAAAATTGCCTGTGAAGAACCAATCTGGTATTCTACCAAGCAGGTGAAAGCTGAGTGATGATACAGCTTTTGAAAACCATGAACCAACAGATGGCAGCTTGGGAGCCACCTCCCTTTCTGCTCAGGAAATCCTGACCAAAAGAGAAATGAACTGAGGTACAGAGCTCAAATCTTTCCTCAGGAAAGGCACCCAGGAGGTAATTCAGCAGGATGTCTGGCAGCATCCCCTGACACTGCTCCACAGAAGAACCAGCGCCATTTAGCAGTGCTCAGAACAAGGATCCACACTTCCCCACACCCCATATCCTCAGGGAAACAATGAAGATTGAATTATTGGCACTGCTAACACTACTGGCATGAGAAAATCCCTTATCAGAGTTCAGCAAGAGAGTCCACATGCCTCAGGCTGTAGATCAAATGCTCCAGGGAAATGCTGACAATAAAGCAAGGCTTTCCTTCCCCTCTGCTTCTTGGGAATCATCAAACGGAGCAGAAAAGAAAGGGACGGATCCATGACAGGCTGGGTGGAGGAGAAAGGACAAAGCCATTTCTCCTCTTCACTGGAGATGATCTTCAGCTGTTACATGAGAGGGAGACTCAGGCACTCTGAAACTGAAAACACTCAAGTCTTCCTTAGGAAAAGCTTCAAACACTCTCTCTGATTCCTAGGCCTGAGCCACTACTGCATAAATAGAGCATCCAGAAGTTCTGTCTCATTTTTCAACATAGAAGTGTTTTACCTTGAAGTAACTAGAAAATAAAGGGATCAGACATAATCCTTCATTTTACTGGACTAGTGGAAGAGTACATAAGTACAGTGTTGGAAATAGTTTGGGCCATGTTAATTTCAGACTCCAAACTGGGATTTAAACCCCAACACTCCTCCAGTGAACACTGTGCTCCATTCAGTCAAGAGCATGGCCTGGACCAGCCTCTGGTCTCAACAGGTCCTGTTCACACACAATTCATCTGCAACTTAATTGCCACACACAAGGCAAAAAAACCCCTCAGATGATGGGATTTATGTTCTCTGAACAAAATGAAGAAATCAACTGCACTTCAGTGCATATTGCTGAAATGGGAACCTCCTGGCCTGCGAGAAGATGAGTCACTCTCAGGTGCTCTCCTTGGGGCAGCAGGGAGAGCAGCACTGCTCCCTGCTTCCACATGGCCTGCTGCCATCCACAGCACTGTCACCCTGCCTGCTCCTCCAGGGATTCTGCCAACTTTGAAAAGGGACATGCATAGAAAAAAAAAAAAAAAAAAAAAAAATTGTATTAAAAATCTACACCAAAAAAGCAGATGAAAAACACACATCTACAAAAAGTAATAAAGAAATCCCGCAAAAATCCTCAAGCATAAAAGAAAAAAACTCTGCAATTTAGAAAATCAAACTTATGCAAAAAAACTCCAAACTCACCACATTTCAAGGCAGACAGAGATGGCTCTGCATCTTAACCACCTCCAAGGCTGTGCTAAGGAGTACAAAAACAGCCTCTGGGGAGCAAATAGCAACTTTCTGTTTACAAGAGAAGAAACTACAGAATAATCTATTTTCCAAAAAAACAGGAGGTGAAAAAAAGATATCCCCCTAAGGCTCAACTGCCAGGGCATCAGGTACCTGACTGATAAGTGAAAATATTCTGCTAAAATACATCAAAGATAAGCTGCCACAGCCATTTCTACTTCCTCAGGGGGGAAAAGAAGCTTCACACTTTGGGTTCTGCAGGCTGGAAGAAAGGTGATTTAAGGAAGTTCTCCCTGGAAGACACAGAAGGAGATACTGGATCAGTAATTTTAAATGAGAGGAAAGGAAAGCAGTCAATGGACTGCAGGCAGGTTAAGGGCAGTCTGGACTCACAGTTTTCTGTAAATCTGACTGAGGTGCATGTTCAGACTTACTTCCAGCCAAAATGACATTTCAGGCTGGAGGCAACAGGCTCCCAAGCAAAAGGGACACCTGGAAGAATCCAGCAAAACCTCAACAATATGATCATAGTACATCTGTGCTGTAGCATATTCCATCTCAAAATGCAGAATTCTTCAGGATCATTAAGCAAACCCCTTGCCCCTGAAACAGCCACCAGAGTGTAGAAAACTGAAAGAAAAAGTCCACTTAAATTTCAAACTTATTTTTTTAATGTCTTAAAAAGGTCACAAGATTTCTTTCCATCTTATTAATAAATTTTATTTGGACAAGTAGAGAACAACTTGTATCACAACAGCTTTTAAACAACATGATTAGACTGCAGCACTCCAAGGAGGCTCACAGATATGTACAGTATATGAAGAAAAAAGTTGCACCTTCAGAGCTGATCATGATCAAGTTAAAAATACCTGACTTAAAGTACATGTGCTAATAAATTTCCTTTAGGTCATGACCAGCATGAAAATAATTAGGACACAGGTACTCAGCAAAGTTTTCTGCTAATGGATACAGCAATATGCTGCATTTAAGGATTAAAATCAGATTCTAGTTTAGTGTTAGCACTGAGCCCTTAAGAGAAATCCAAAGTTCTACTTTTCCCATTTACAAACATCAAAGCTATTCCCACTTAAGGGTGTGCCCAACTGCACACAAATCAAGTCCTTGACTGATAAAAACTTTAGCTCTAATACTGGAGGTCTCAGTCCCTGTACAAACTCGCCTCTCTGGCCATCCTGCCCATCAGCTGCTACAGAAAATACTTGCTAAGTTAACTCCTCAGGAGAAACAATGCAGGTCTCTGGAAATCATCACATCCTTTCTACAATGAAAATGATCTGCCAATTCAAGTTTCATTTGTTCAGGAAGACAGAAGATTTAAGGCTTCGGTGGCAAAAATAATCCTCTGAGCAGTGTTTTTCTAAAGTCAAGCTGACACAGGTATCTTTACTTTGCCTTGACTTAAAATCCCTGGTTATCAGGTTTAGATAACATCCACCTGTTAAATCTGGCAAGAAATCCCTCCTTCCAAAGAGGTTGCTCTAAATCAACCATTTTAGAAGCATTTGAGGATAGTTGGTTTAATTTTTTTTTTTAATTATAGCAACATTGGGAACTTAGTAAGTTGATGAAGCAGTGCTCATGGCATCATCTGCAATTTTGGTACTGGCAGGGTGGATGCTTGCAAAGTACTTGACATCACTGTCAACATCCATTTGAAGAGCCATAATTGTTTGTTCCACAGCTTCTTGGTGAGAGTTGGCAGAATTCAGGAAATACTCTGTAAGAGAAAATGCACAAAACTTAAGGGAGGAAAGGGCAGCAGATACTTCAATGCCAGCCTCAGCGCACCCTGTGAGATACAAAATTTCAGAGGACAGTGCACTCCTGCAGTCCAACTGGAATATCTGAGCAGGCACACAAGACACTTCCAAATATATCTATGAATTCACCTTAAAAATCATTTAATGTTTCAGAGCACAGTTGCTCTAATGATGTTGCACAAGTACAGGATTTCTACAGCCCTTCAGTATAAAAGGGTGCCAGACTCCATGGCCAAAGAGGAAGGAAAAGCCTGGTACAAAACTCCAGATGAGAGTGCTTGTACTTGTGACAGAGGAAAGACACCATCAACCCATGGCCATGCCACTCCATTTCCCTGCCAGCCCTGCCAAGTAATCATCAAATGATAGATCTAAGATAACATGAGTGGAAGAAGCTCCAACATTCGACAAACTACAGAACACAAGGTGCAAAAAAGCAATGTCACTAAAAATGGCTCACAGGAAGATTGGTTGAGATCTGAGGTTTAAAAACTCCTGAACTGATTTTTTCAACCTGCCTTCCCCAACCTATCCACCCTCCCTAATCCTACAGAGAACACCTCTGAGGCAGAGACTACCTGCCATAAGCTTAAGTAGTGGCAATGCAGAATGGAGGTGCACTATCCATGTGGGGGACACAAAAACACCAATGCCACGTGAGGGCAGGAAGAACAGTGACATCCTTGGCACAGTTAACAGAAGATAAATCTGCCCATCAGCTGATCCACCTCAGCTGCCTCCATATGCTTCCTCAGTCAGCATGCACAAGGCAGCTCCAACAGCTCAGCAGTCCTCAAGCCAGTGTATGGTGCTGAGAGTGGAAGTGACCAGAAATGGATGAAGTATTCCAAAATGGACACTCAGCTGTCTTAGAAAATAATCTAATACTTCTAATGCTGATTTCCTTTGCTTTCCTTAACAGTGCTTTGGGCTCTGAGCACTGCTGACTCTTCTGGCACCTACAATGCACTGGGGATGCTTTCCTAAGCACACTCTGCAATTTAAGAGTTGCATGTCTTATTTCCCTGAAGAGAAACCAGAGAAGCTTTCTTCCCACTGCTACCATAAAATATCAAGCCCAAACAACAGCCACCTTTTCTCCCCCAGTGAGAAAAAACAAATGGTAGTTTATATTTGTGTATATTTTTCTGTCTTATTACAGAGAACATCAACTTTTTTTATTTTTTAAACTAAATAAAGGGCACCGTTCAACAATTTCACAGATGCTAGCTGCTCACTTGTGCTTTCTGATGACACCTCTACCAAGTAGTTTATTCATGGAAAATGACACCAAAGGAACAGGCTGGCATATGAGCAAGAACTCATTTCCTCAGCACTACACAACAGCAGGTTGGACACCACAACAGGGTCAGCCAAGGTAACATCTCACATCAAAGAGACAGTAAAAGCAACAGCAGCGCACATCTGATGTTGCTTCTTCTTTCCCAGCTGAATTTAGGAAAACTGAGGGACAAAAAACCCCTGTGCAGTCAGCCCATTGCAACTCTTTCTGCCGCTAACCTTTCTCCAAAAGGGTTTGCTTCAATGTTTTTGCGAGCAGGACTCGAACATTTGGAACCTTGTCAGATGCCAAGTGTAGTAAGTGTGGCAACAGATGCACAGCAAACTGGTCCATGGGCAGGCAGTCATCTTCACTGATACTCTGGCAGGAACACAGAGGCAATTTCATTACATTTCAGCACAGGGAGGATGAAATCTCAACACATAATCAGAAACCTGGAACTCCCCCTTTTTTCCCTCTTTTTGTTTTTTTAATCACTGTACCACTTGACAACAGGAGAGAAAAGCAGAAGACCTTTACAATACTTCTCACAGTTAATTTAGTCTTTGTTTAAACTAGAGACAAAAATGGTTAATAGCAATAACAATTCTCTAAATAAGCTCAAAGCTCACATTTCTCCAAACACTTCAAAGAACTGTCCACCTGGGCAGGAGCCACAGTGGCTCCCAGTCTGCACCTCTGCTACAGCCTCCAAATTTGACCATTTCCTTGGGATCCCAGCTAGTTTCAACTCCTGTTTGTTTTGCTGAGAATGCACTGGCTTTGACCAAGCTGCACAAGCTGATTGAAGAGGTACAGGCAGCACCTACTCATTGATTTCTAAAGATTTATTACACCAATCTCATTTCATGCTGAGCAACAAAGTAGCTTCCCAACTCAGAGATTATTTTCCTACACTTGTGCTCTATATTCAATATCAGATTTGATGACCTGGTGCTAATTTGCTGAGCTAAGGATGCAGTCAAGCTTGCCTATGGAGAAACAGAGAAAAAAACAGCCATGAAACTATTCCCTTGGAAACAATGCTCTCAAATATTCACCAGTATAATGTCAATGGACAGCTGGAGAGTTCCAGTCCCCTTAATTCTGATCACCACCACCACCACTCAAACAAAACCAAAAAGCAAACAAACAAATCAACTTCCCCCAAACCCCCAGAACAGAAATGAAAAGACATTTCACCTGGCAAATAAAGACAAAAGTCTGCCGACCAGACCATTTGTGGCATCTACAGAACTTTTCAACAAGTTCATTCATGAGGTCTATCACAAAAGTTGGTGTTGAAGCCATGTACAGCTTTTTTACCATTTCACTAACCTTGAAGAAACAAGAAGGAACAAAAAAGTAAATTAAAAAATTGCCCCCACCAACACTCAGAAGTCTGACACCCTAAATTTATTCAGATTGCTTTACCAGCTTGTAGGAAATCCAGCGGACAGAGGACACTTTGTCTGCACAGAGGTTGAACGCAATGGGCCGCAGGTAGTCATAGATGTCCCTGGCACTGTACAGGTCCAGGAGCAAAATCAGCTGCCTACAAGATGGAAGAACAACCAAAGACAGTGTGCCACAGTAAGAAAAAAGGCAGCTGAACTGAGTACCATCATTTATAGGACAGCACTTATCAAATATGCAATGTGGCCATAATGAAGTTACTGGGAAGCAAAATCTATTTTTTAGTGCCATCATCTTGAATGTGGGTAACTTGAAAATATCAAACTAACAATACAACTACTGGGAATTTTTAAGCAAGGGGGACATACGGAGGAGGAGAAGGATCATCTACTAATCAAAAATTAAATTAGGAATAACACTGAAAAACATCTATAATATGATTTTCATATTTTTAAATATCCATGACAATAAAAATAATCATTCTGAAAAGCACATACTCAGCCAGCTCAGCACGGAAACGCCAGTTCCTGCTGTTATCAGTCACCAGGAATTCCTGAAGCTGATAAAGATACTCTCGTCTTTTGTCAACATGAAGAAGCTGAAACAGTAAATACAAACTTACATAAAGAGCTACAGGCTACAATCAGCACACAGAACAAGAGCTTTAAATACAACTAATGAAACATTCTGTTTATTTAAAAAACCTTAAATCTTTAGCAACAGTGTTGCTTTCCTGGGCTAAACTGTGTAATGCCAAAGACTAAAATCACATGAGGCACTACTGAAAGGAAAATGTGACAAGTCTCTTCTTTTCTAAGAAAGGAGGTGTAAATAGTAAAGATAGTTTTAGGATTTGTGTCTCTCAGCTCCAGAAATGAGGCAGTTACAAAGAAACCTCTACAAAAATTTGACAAGTAAGTTGTGTAGGCAAGATTAGAGAAAAAAAAATCATATACTGAATAAACATGAACAAAGCTCTTCAGAGAAAATCAAGTAGCAGCAACACAGATCTCTTGAACACATATTCCAGTATTCAACCGACATCTGCAGAGATTCCCACAGAGTTCCATGGGTAGGACACAGACATACCTTCAGGAAGTCATGCAAGTGCTTAAGCACACCTATCCTCACTTCATCTAGGTCCTTCAAAAAGCCATTGAAGACAGGAACCAAATCTCCAGCTGTAAGCTGGTCTCCAAGGATGACAGCAAGCTCATGTATGGAAAATGCCAGTGTCCGCCGAACCTTCCACTGCCACACAAACAAATCAATGTTATTGATCCAAAGGGCTCCAGGCAAACCTGAGGGTCAGTATCCAAGCCGGACTCCCAGCAAATTCCACTGCTTATAAATATCCTTACAGTACCTCATGTAACAACTGAATATTACACTGGAAATTTAAAATGGGGAAAAAAAAAAGGAAAATTGATGAGAAGACAAATGACAAGGTATCATTTCTTCCACCTCCATATCAAGGAACTATTCAAATAGAAGTAATCAAAATATTTTAATTTTCCTGGTGCCAGGAAGCAAAATAGTATTCCTGACATGAGTGCTCTTGCACACATTACTTTTCGCTTTAAATTCTTCAGCATAAATTAGTTTCATGTTACTATTGTCTTATTCTATTTTTAAAATTAAAAGAGTAAGACATATATCCCACAATATTTCAGCTGGGATATTTTAGCTTCCATAATAGGTAAAGTTTCTTCCACACTTGGTGCCCAGCAGCCCAAGGACCAGTGGAGCTACCAGACACCTTAAATTGAGGGTACATTGTTTAATTCTAGTAATTATTTCAAAAAAGTCTTTTAAAAATAAAATAGTATCTATTCTTTAGCCATCACTTTCCAATTAGCATGGGCACTGCTCTTTTGCTCTGGTTTGGTGATCCAATCGTAATTCAGATTAGACTGGTGATAAATTCTGGACACTTCTGCACACAGGGCAATTTGTTTTTACTTGTGTTTCAAATTATTAGCTGGTTGTTTTTAATGGCTGTAAAGGGGCCTGGAAAACATGAGCAATAGCCATGTATAAAATTACTCACAATGTATCACTGAGAACTGCTGCTCTGACAGAGCAAGCAGCAAGTTCAAGGGAGGTGAAGCAGTCTGAGAATATTTAAAAAAATATAAAGAGCATCTCCAAAAAAGGAAACAAAGGAGGTCTGGGAAACAACTGTAAACCACAAAATGCAGAAAGCCACCTCCTTACCACTTGACAACAAGGAAAATGCTGCTATTTCCAGGATTTGTTTTTAAAGCAGCAGTGCTGCTGCATGGTGATAGCGATGTTATTCCTGTATGACTAACTGGATGTGGCACCAAGGCCTGGTGTGAGGCTGACTCACCAAGCTCCAGACATGCCTGCAGGGGCATGTCTGCTCACACAGCAGCACGGCCCAAATTCTCAAACATAGGAGGCTCCCAGACACTACCATAAGATCTCAAGCATGCACAGGAAATCAGAAACCTGTCCTCATTTTCCTACTGGAGATCCATCTCCCACTCTAACCTGCCCATTTCTTTACTACCTGAACACCACACCCCCTGCTTCCTCTAAAACAACCACTGCACCTATCCATCACTCCTTGTAGGATAACACCAGGGATGGAAAGCTCTGTGTGGAAAGCACAGCAGCCCAACATCCAGCGAACAAGAGAAACCACTACAGAGGCTGCAATCAGTCTTTGTCACATCTCACAACTTCAGACTGTTCAGTGCTTGAGCTCACCTGCATGTCAGAGGCCAGAGTCTCGTAGGTGTCCTTCAGGCAGTGCCAGTTCTGCCTGCCCAGGGTCAGAGCCACGCCGGGCAGGCTGTAGGCGCAGTGCTTGGCAATCTCGGTGTCCACTGTTTGTGCGCGGGACGGATCAGTCATGGACAGGTACTGATCCAGCAAGGCTTGAGGGACAACATCCTGCAGCAGGAGGAAGGCACAGCATACACACCATTTTCACTTACTCCTCATAAGGCTCACTATCATTCCAGGGCACTCTTTTTCCCCCACAACTATAGAATATTATTTAATTACAGTGTCTTAATAAGACCACAACCCTGTTCTTCTAAGCCTTCTGATGTTTACGTTTTTGTAATGGAGTTTCTCATGCACTTTTCATGTAAATAATGATTGTTTTGCATTCCTTTCTAGAGGAAGAGAAATTTGATGGACTGTTGGTTTGACCAGTGTGGCTGGAGAGGTGGCAATTTCATCCTCCAATCCATAGTCACTCTTGAAAGTCTATAAATATTGGAGTCAGAAATAAACTACGCTCTTATTACCTCAGACCTTTCAGCTTCTGCGTGTCATTCATTCTGTGTCCTATTCTGACACACAACAGTTTTGTATCTGCTAAGTTCCACCAAAAGGTTCCAAAGGAACAATAACATGACTAGGGGCTATTTGAAAACACACAGACCAACTCAAGAGAGGAGCAAGTGGACAAGTCTCCTTAGGGAGTCTAGGAAATGGAAAGACTGCATTCTACCCTTTGCAAACATTCAGACTCACGTTGTGCAAACTGGCCATTTTGTGTCTTCCATAAAGACAGGTAAAACAGCAAATGATGTGACTTGCTCAAAAAAACCTTTCCTAATTCTCTCAAAATCTTGAAAAGTTGGAGAGAAGAAAACTAAATTAAAATGCCTTGGGAAGCAGGGAAGGGGAGGGAGCAGACTACAGTGTGTTCCATACTGCGTCCAAACTCCTTAGACACTCAACAGGGAGAAAGAGGCTTCTCCGGAGACAAAGAGATCTGTGGTGAAGAACTATCCCTCTGTCCATTGAGGAATCAAATCATCCAAACCAAAATTGTGTGAGAACCTCTTTACTACTGCCTTTGCTTCAGCTGTGTCAGGGACTGACTCTATGAAGGGGAGCACAAGAGCATTTGCCTAACACAGCTGCTGAACAGCTCGACGGACAAGAACAAGCCAGGGACTGAGATTCCCACTCAAGGAGTCACACTGATGCACAGTGGCAATGTAATGTTGTTCCACACTATGGAACAACAGACACTTGATTCCTTTTGGAAAAAAAAACAAAGGCAGTTCCAGTTTAATGAAACACTTTCAAAACTGTTCTGCAAAAAGCTATCAAGGGGCGGGGGTGGTTCCTCTCAAAACATGTAATAAAAAACCTATCCTGTTTCCTCAATAACCTAAGTCCCACTACAGCATGGTTCCCATTGAAAACTAAACCAAATTAAACAGAGCCTGAAGATCTGTGACAACTGTTATCTCATGTCAAAATAATATTGTTATCTCTCATGCATAAATGTAACAGAAACAGTTTCTAAATGAAGCCATTGACTCTGGAAACAAGGACTAATTTAAAACTACTTAATTAAGAGGTATTTAATAGAAACTAGATCATGTCAGAAATGACTGAATGAAAAAAAGGGATAAAGGAAATACCCACATATATTTTTAAAAATGTTACTTATCAAGAGGATAAAAGAAATACCCATATATATTAAAAAAATTTCACTTATCTGCTACATATAAGAAAACCAGAATTCACTATCATTTACCTGTACTTTGGATTTTCTTTCTTCTTCAGGGCTGAAACTACTGTTGGTACTCAAATCTGAATCATTATGAATATAGTGAAGTGGAGAATCCATACCCTGTGAAAAAAAGAAAATAAAAGGTCACATAAAACACACTCTAAGATTAAACACAAAAGAAATACCAACATCAAGAAGTGCTGTCCTTGCCTCACATTCTATTTCTTAGATTAAAGGATTATATGTTTTAATATCAAATACAATTTTACTGCAGCACAAAATCAAAAGGTCTGCAAGATAAATCTGCTTTCAATTTCAAACAGAAGCTCCTCTTAGTCTGCTCCATTTTGGTTCTTATGGAATGAAAATAACAGGAGAGAAGTACTTTTGAGACTGCATTAAGGAAAATACAACTAACATATGGGTCCCATTGCTTCTCCCCTGAATGGAAAGTAAGAAAACACCTGTAGCTGACTTTTAAGGACTTGCTGCATTGGATTTGTGCTAGAAAATGGTTAAAACAAAGCCACCCTCACACTGAAGAGCAGAACCTCATGAGACTCATGCTGTTGCACCCTTCCTGGAGGTGATTATTCTATAACCTTCTCTGGACAAGCTTCACCTTATAGAACTGAGTCCTGCTTGGCCACAGCTGCTGACAAGAGTCGTAACTTCTCTCAGCAGTCCTAATAAAATAGTTTTCAGCAATCATTTTAGCACCTTGGCCACACATCTGGGCCTTGGGGAGTGGCAGAGGTGTGATGGGCTGCAGTGAGCTGTGCTGCTGGGGGGATGCACCAACACTTTCCTTACAAGTGTAGCTCCCCAAATACAATGGCTTCGTGTAACAAACCAGGAATTTCAAGCAGAATACAATGAATATCTGAAAAGTGCATCAGGCTGCTGTGTGCTGGAAAAGGACAAAGGCATTTTTGCTAGATTTGAGCCAAGGTATCTATCTATTCCCAAATGCTGCAGGGTGAGCTCCTAGGGTCAACACAAGCAACAAGAACATGCCTACTTCCACCAGCTGCTCAGCTCATTTTGACAACGAGAATTTTCCAGCAAACTACAGACTTCTTCCCAAAAAAAGCCTCCAGGATACAATCTGTCTTCCTTGGTTTGACTTCAGACAGCTGCTTTTTCCTTCTCCACAAGCTACTTTCATCTAAGCACTGGGCTGCAATTTTAGCTGCTGAGGTATAATTACAGGTGATAAAGGACGGGCAGAGCTGTGAGGCAACTGAACATCTCTGGCACAGCAGTTCTTGCCACCTGTCAGGCTTAGGAAGCAGCAGCAAGAAGGTGTTAAAGACCCAAGGAAAGAAGAGATTTGCAAGCAACTCCATAACTAAATGTGTCCAGCAGCACACAGCTCCAACTGTAAAACCTCTGGAGGCTCTGAAAACTATCTCTGCAGGATTTTTAGTTTGACAGTCAATTCCTCCTTCACTCTTTTTTAGCCTTTTGTTTGTCTGGGGGTTTTTCCCCCTGAAAAAGAGATTATTTTCAGCATTGCCAGTCACCAGCTTTGATGTCTGGCAAATCATGGAATTATGAGGCAGCCAGTACACCCTAGCCACAGTACCTTCCATGAGCTGCCAGTTTGCATGGGACCAGAGGTTGGTCAGCCATTCTGTTACAATAAAAGTGAAAGGACTCCATCTCACATTCCCTGCTCAGCTCCAAAAGCTTAAGCTTCAAAAAAATCATACTTTATGGATTGAACCAAGGCAAACAACCGAATATAATGGAGGGTGTCACAGATGGGAATATTTTCACTCAGCCACTTTCAAAGTCAGATATATTCATTCCTGAGAGGAAGAGTTTCAGTAGAGAAGGCCAGCCATCAGTCAGTATTTAGGTTATGCAGTATCCCCACTCCTGAAAATGAAGTTCCATCTTTTTCCATGCACACACCAAACTGAGCATTGCAGAGAGGACATGAAAATTCAGCAGGGTTTAGCCTAAAAGCTTCTTGTGTACCAAGAATGCAAATCTTTGCCATGGCCTTAATGCATTCTTGTGTACCTCAAACACAAAATCTTTGCCATGGCCTCTAAAATCTCTAAGGTTAAGCTTCCCTTGGCTGCATAACAAGAGCTCTGGGGATGTGCTCCAAAGGTCTCTGCTCTGTGTTGAGGGTTGCACACCAGGACAGGCAGTGCTGGCGCTTCCTGATGGAGCAGCTGGCCCAAAAAAGAAGAGGCCAATGTCAGGGGTCCATCTCCTCCTGGCATCCATGCTATTCTTATTAGAAAGAGGTACTTGTGCCAGACAGGAGTGAGAAAGTTTTAGCCCAGTTTCCTCTCTACCTCGAAATAAAAACAGATTTCAATACACATCCCCTTATCAAACCTTATAAAGAACATAAAACCTAAAAAAAAATAAAAACAGTGCCTCCTGAGAAAAAATAAACAGCTGCCCTCAACAAACAAGCTTCATCATGTCCCAAAAATCTTACTGGGCCACTCTATTACATCATTTATTTTCATTGAATAGAGAATCTCTCTTAAACATGCAGCATTAACTCCTTCATGATCTAGTACAGCTGCCAAAGGACAAGCACACTGTGGTTTTGCTTACTGGAGTATGTGCAGAACTGTGCAGGCTGCATTCAAATATAAAATGCTGGACAGCTTCACTTCCCTCAAGAGTCTGGTACCCTACTGACACACTGCTATGCTGAGACTCAAAAACCTCAAGAAAAGACAAGAAGAAAAAAACCACCACAACAAAACCCTGACCAAAGTAAAAAACCCCAACAACCACCTGTGAAAATCAGAGGTCTCTTCACTGCTAGGGACAACAGTCTACTTGCTCAACAGATCACAGCTTGATTCCCAGAATTCTAGGTCACCTCTAGAATATCTGCTCACTTGTAAAATGAGGGCTTGATTCAGTGCCAGTAACAAACAAGAAACTGACAGATTAAGAGCATCCTCTTAAAGCATAAAACTGAAACATGCAAAATCAACATATACCAGCAATGTGACTGCTTCTTAAATTTTCTTTCAGCATTATACTCTGTATACAAAAACATAAAACACAGGACAAGTCCCTCTGCACAAACACCATCTCCCAAAATTCTTAAGAATGGAGGAAAACTGTAATTTCAGGTAAGCATTAGAAAGAAGAGATTCTATAATAAAAAAAGCATTTTGAGCCTGACAAAAAGGAATTTGAGCCAGGCTGATGTTTTTGAAACAAACCACATTTGTATAGTTAAATTATGATTGTGTATCATCAGCAGTAACCATGTAAATGTCATATTCCTGAACCCCTTGTATGTTTTTGGTCTAGATGGTGGTCCAACAGCTTAGAGAATAGTTAATTAAATGCCATCAAGAAACACTGCTCTAATTCAAGAAGGATGAAAATATTTTATACTGAACTGGTATTAACTACTAGCCATTTCAAAGATGCTTGTCAAAATTTCATCTGGAAAATACAATTTCAGTAGAATGATTCAACAAATCACTTGCTCTGGTTTTATGGAGCCTATTTTGGAACCATTGCTATCTGGTTACCACCTCAGCTTGTGGCATTACATGCAGTGAATGTAGTGGGTTTGGCCTGACAGAGCAAAGAACAGAAAAGAGTATCAAATGCCAGAACTACAGTCAGGCAGGGAATGGGGAGAAGGGCTGAAGAAGTAAATGCAAAAAACTTCAAGATGTTACTGACTGCTAGAATCCTTCAGCAGTCTGCACAACATGTCAGTTGCAGGTCCTCAACTTCTCTGATGCAGACCAGTAAACCAGAATAAATCAACTCACAGGGAGCAAAGAGAATGAGAACAAAGTACCCCATTCTACAGGTTCAGGGAAGGGCACTGGAGAAGAAGATTCACTCATTATGAGTAGGGAATCTATTTTAAGCAAGGCACTTTCACATTAATAAAATGTGGTAGCATTAAAACAACTGCAAATGCAACAGTCACAGAGATTTTAACAGAAATTCTGCAACAGAGATTTTAACAGAAACAGTTTAAAGAATTTACACGGAGAAGCAGAGAATTGGCAAAAACAAAGGCACCAAATACCAGTAATTTTATTTTAGTAGCTAGCATTTCAATACCATCCAACAAATGGGAATGTCACACCAGCCAAAAGTAGAAAGCATTTGGCTGCAATCATCACATGAATGCAAATTACTGCTCTGTTACTGGAGCCCTGAAAATCCTAATGGAAAAAAATAAAGTACAAAACTCTGTCCTTACCTCAACAGTGTCACGAATTAAAGGCACAATATCACTCAGTATAGGTTTAAAACTTTGTTGGTCATTGATGGTTAGTTCAGTCTGTGAATCTGTTCCCTTGCCAACACTGGCCATTGTCTCTTCTTGAGGATGCAAACTGGATGCTCTGAGTGCAGCAGACAACACCTCCACTTGTGCTGCAGTACACGAAAGAGAAACACATGAGAGACTAAACTGCAATAAAACTTTTAGCAAGTCCACAGATTCAAGTTTTAGACAGAGACTAATTAACTGAAAGATGGCAGAGGAACTACACGAGAGGTACACCAACTTAAGATCATATTGGTAAATCCCAAACTAGGCACCAATTAAGTGCTAGATTAACACCCCACTCTTTTTCTAGGGTACTCAACCAAACCACAGTCCAATGAAATTTGTTCCTAAAGCTGAAATAAACAAACAAACCCCATAATTCAAGACAAATAAGGAGACCGCTGTTATGGCAGGATCAGCTCTTTAACAATTTTAGTAAATATTAATAGTGCAAATAGTTTTTTGGGGCAGGATAGCCCATGAATATTAACTTATAGACTGGGCTGTTTGTGGGAGGTGGGACTAAGAGACAGAGACATGAAATAATTCAAACAAAGATTGAGAACAATTTTCGTAATACACAAAGGATTTCAGTTCTGAGAGGTTGTTCTCTCCCTCTATATATGTTCATTAAAATCTTACATTTTAATAGCAACTCCAAAGCAAGATCTATATAGAAAGATGCCAGACCCAATACTTCAGCCTTCTTGGATCCTCCAAACAAATAAGAAGGTTGCACTGTGTGATGTTCTCTTATTCATCTAAAAAAGGCATTAGCACTTCATATTCTGCTATCCACTCTTTTGGAAAAGATCCAGCAGTTCTGAGGCTGCTCTGCTTTCCATCCCTCTGTTTACTGCCAATTAGAAAAAGCTTTGTTGAGCAATGCTCCTTGGCTATAGCCTGACCTGAGATCAGATATCAGGGGCAATCTCAGTTGCAAGTGACACAGAATTCAGTGCAGATTAATCTACCCTGCCACTCTCCTCCTCCTCTTCTTTCCAAGAAGGCAGGGAGGAATTATCTCCTCACTTATTAAATTTCCCCAGCCATCCGGAAGATCTGTTCCTCACAGATTTTGTCTTTTCCAAGGTTTCTTAAATGTTCACTGTGAAATTACATGACAACCCATATGCTTCTTTTTAATCCCACACTGCCATACTAAACTACAGAATTCTGAATTACTCCCTCCAGCATTTTCAATATGGTTGTTAACAAGTACTAAATAAAGAAAGTTGGACTCATTTGTAGATAGAAGAAACAGATATACAGATATACAGCTGTTACAAGAAACAAAAATTGTTAACTCAGCAAAATCTTAGATTAGAAGCATTAGCAAAATCTAACAAAAATTGGAAAACACACTGTGGAATAAAGACAATTTTTTAAAATATGCAATGCTAACTCTCTAACTCTGTCCAATTTCTGATAAAATAACCCAAATATATCCTTGCTGTATTACTCTATTCCTCAACATGAAACAGGAAAAACAAATTGTTAAAAACTTAAAGTATAACCAACATAATACTAATACTTTCACTATAAAACATATAGTTCAAATATATATATTATAATTTACATATAAATATATAAAAATAAGGAAATTTACTGTTACTAACATTAATAAGACTGCTACAACCTTACTCTTCAAGTATTACTTCACTGACAATAAACTTGTATACTCTAAGACCCATAAGAATAAAAAAGATCAAGGTTAATAAATTTTCCCCAAAACTTAAATGTTAAATAAATCATCCCCAATACCAGGCAAAATAAGTGGCTATGCTAGGGCAAGGAATGCCTGGCTTATTTCCAAACTATTTTAATTTAGAGAAATCAAACAAGAAAATGGAAAATAATTATATCCTGCTGCACATTGAGACATTTTTCTTGAAGGACAACTTCATGAAAAATGTGCATTCCTCTCACCTTCACTGCAAAGTGAAGAAAGCTTACCCCAACTAGGTAAATGCTTCAACACTGTTTATGTATTTTCTGAAAAATCCACACAAAGCTAACAAAGATTACCTACAGCAACAAAAGTATCTACAGCAGGTATTGGGAATTTTCCAAGACATATTTCCCACCCATGCCCCACTGTCAGCCTGCATACCTGGACTGCCCTTGCTTAGGGGCTTTAACAGGATGGAGACAACACCTGTCCTGATTTCCTCTGCCTGCCCTAGAAGAAATATGACAAAAATGTGCATTTCCTCAGCTTCTTGTCAATTCTACAATCTCAAGATGTGAGGGTGAAGGACAGGAGAAGCCAAAATCCCAAGGATTTCATTGACTGGCAAGTGCCTTCTTTCAGTGCTTATCTGTGACTTCAGTGCTGCCATTCACTGAAAGGTGAATGTCCTGAAGCCCACAAACATCTTAAGGTCCTTGCTAAAAGAAGAGCCAAGGATTGCTGTGGCTCCTTATCTCTCATGGAGAGATCCCCTACTGACATGAGACAGGCAATGGCTTGCAGAAAATAATTTCAAATTATTTTGAAATAAGGATAAGTCTCTCCTGTGAATGACTGAGAAATGCTTCAAGAAGGGAATCTCTGGCTAACCAGTTTTCACAACTACCTTCGGTAAAAACTGGAGTGTAAAGGTCAGTTTTGCACATAGCATAGAACTCAGGTTATTGCATTGCTCAGATAAAATCAATGTTCACTCCATCTTAGACCATTAATTAACTCTTTCTTCAACTTTTGCTTCAGGTGAGATGTATTATTAAATAAAAAAGTATTTAGTCTTGGCTACTGTACCTGCATCCTAAAATAACTAGTACAATCTAGAAATTCTAAATCACATTTCATCTGTCCTACTGAATTTCCTGGTTTTCAGGAGTTTCTGTCCCTTACTGTTGTTTTCTGTTTCTCCTGGTGTTTCACAAGAAGACATTGATGTTTTATTTATTTTTTTTCTTCTTTTTACTTTCTTTTTTCTAAAAGATCTGCCTTCCCTACCCTTACTTCTTACTCAGAGGCAAAAGCTATGGGCTGCAATGGGTACAGAGATGAAGTAACTGAAACATAAGAACAGTTTCTTCTCCACTTACTCCTCACCTGTTCCATTAAAAACATGTTTTAGATTTTCAGTGCCAGTAACCTAAATTACAGTTCTTATAAGGGAATGGGATCAATTAACCCCACATTTGGGCTGGTTTGTCCACATTAGGTCTCCTTTTGGCAAAACAGCTTGTAACTAAGTGACTTAGGCCACAGTTAGCCTTAGTAGCCTGCAAGTCAGGCTTCCTCTATTCCCCCAAATAATATTAAGGAAAGCTGACATTACATGATTTAGCCCTTTCTATACAGATCATAAGATAAAGCCAGTTGAAGAAAATGTCAGTGGAAAGAAAAATAAAGAAAGAAAAACATCTGAGGAAAGAAAAACAATCTCTGAAGGAAGTGAAGACAGCAGCAGCCTCAGGGAACTGGAAAAACGTGACCTGAAAAAAGACCTGTGATGATTTTTAAAAAGCTGGCATACTTCACAGGAACGTGCAGGTTCCCATCTCCCAGCCTGGGACCTTCCAGATGTCTGGCCAGAGGATTGGAAAGGTCCTTTCCAGAGGGATTACAATAGCAGTGCTTAACTTTGCACAGCCTGTGCTGCTCTGCTAGCCAGCAGTTTGCCCGTGAGAAGACAGGCTCTCTTTATCCTGGTTGCTGAATGCTCAGCCACCTATTGCTCAGATTTATCACTCTGGCAATAAGCTAGTTCTGGAAGGAAAACTCCAAGGTAAAGAGTGAGATTCAGGTGAAGCAGTTTATCCTTTTCTGAGAATGAGATTAGGGAAAAAATATTCTATGATGGTTACTGACTGCTGTTAAAAAACTGTTTTTGCTGGAGATCTCATCAGTCTCCACGCCTTGAAGCAAAGATCTAAGGCTTGACTGAGAAAACCCCAAACAAACCAATACCACCCACCACTGCCCCCCATCCAAAACACCAAACCAAAACCACACAACCATGACCAGTGTGAATGTAAACAGCAACCCCTTAGTGTTTGGCATCCAAGGCATCTGGAAGATGGGAATATGCACTGAACATGCCATACTCTGGGCTACATGACCTGGTGATGCCTTTCTTTTGACTCTTCCCATTGGCATGGTACACTCAGGCACTCCTCAGACAAAAATTGAGCTATTCTTTCTCAATACTTCTGCTATAATGATGCAAGCAGGTGAGGGGAGAAGCAACTCACACAAGACACAAGGGTGAAGTGAGACATGTGAAGCAGAGGAATGTCAAACCCAAAAAGAAAGAGAAATGAAAATAAAAAAGGAAATAGGAAGGGGAATACATGTGGAGGGAAGGTACAAAGGTATGCTGCTAGGGATCAACAGCCAGTGCAAAGCAGAGGGTGATGGGAGGAAGGAACAACAACAAAAAAACCACTAAGAAAACCCCAACACAACCATATTTTTCTGACTCAGAGTAATTGCTGGCTGAATTTCAGCAACAAATCTCCACATCTGCCTCAGCTCTCAGGGATGGGCTCTGAAACCAACTAGCAAAATAGAAATCATCAACCTCCTCCGACTGACCAGTGAAGAACAGCACCCTATTACCAACACTATACATCCTGCAGAGTCAAATAATAAAAATTCAGTGTGATCTTAAGAAACTGCAAAAACCCTGTGCCATTATGATTCCACACAACAGGAATAAATTTTCTTCTTCTCATAAATTTCTAAAATGTTAAAAAAATTTTTAAACAATTTAAAAAAAAGAGAAAAGAAACAACCAAAAACCCATGTCAAAAGAAGGCTGCTGTATTTGCCCAGCTAAGCATAGAGAGGCAAGGCAGAGCCAGAGACAAGGTCACCTGAACAACTTTATCTTACTGACACATGCAAAACATCATACACTGCAGTCTCATTCCCAAACCACACTTTATCACTTCATCTTGTCATGCCTTCAGGATCCTTGGCCAGTGTGCTACAGAAGCCAGAAGATGTCTACCCATGGAAGCTCTCCAGTATGGCAGGCCTCCACTTACCCACCACAGAGAACACAGCATCTTCCACTCCCATCCCTTGGCTGGGAATGCAGCAATAAAGACAGGAGCACAGCATGGAAGCAGGAGTCCAGGACTTAGGTGACAGCAAGCCAATGAAGAAAATAAGTGCAAGAAAAAGATCACAGGGATTTAAAAAGAAATAAAGAGAGGAAAAAAACCCCTCCTAGTTTGCTCAGTCATTGCTGTCAAAGCAAAGCCTACTCACAGTACAAGACTCAAAAACATCATGAGAGGGAAGTGCAGGCAGGGTAAGGCCCTTGGACCATTTGGGACCAGGGCTGTTTGGCATACATTTGTAAGCCATGTATACTGGAGACAAAATTAACTGTGAAATTAGGGAGCTTCATAAAATTTCCATGAAAACAGATTAAGATATACTTTTGATTGAATACTAATACCATGAGTTTGCAACAACCATTTTAGATTATATTGCCATGAGCAAGGAGACAGGGCTCTGATCTTCTGGATTACCCCCAGAGCAAGCCTACCTTTTGTCACAATTTAGGAAGCATAAGATTCAAAACACATGTATTAAGTCAGCTACTCAGACAAAAGTCTGGATATCTACCACTTCTATGTCTGCCACAGTGTTTGAGACAAGCATGCAAAATTAATACTACTTGCACTTTGCGCAAAATTAAAATTGCAATGTTACTAAATTGAAACAGGCATGCTGTTAAATTCCAGCTTCTTGAGCGCTTAGACTGAATAAAAAGAGCACAGGCAAGAGGTAAAAGAGTAGAAGATTTAGGAGGAATGTTTTATGGGGCTTCATTTCATAGCCTTGACCAAGTCAGAGTGGGGAAATCCATGGTGTTGGCAACCTAGGAACAGTTTTCTTTTACTTAAATGTGCAAATATTGGTCAACAACTCCACAGAAAAGCTCCTGACACCCAGTCAAGAGACCTACAAACAAACAAACAAACAAAAAGAATTCCAAAAACCTGCTCTGAAACAAGACATGAACACATGATAAACCCATAACACAGGACAATTCTGGATGCACAACTACATGCTTACACAAACCACTGTAATTTATGCATTAAGGTATGTTCTCTTAACTACAGACAGAACAGCTTTACAAAGTAAACCTGAATAGCAGTGCAAGCTTCTGCAGCTGGCTTCAAAGATGGGTCATATGAAGGCTGAAGTCATTAGCAAGGGTGAATTTTTTTTCTTACCTCTTTCCTTAGTGCCCAAAGCACTCCTAAAGCAAAGTTTTATCTGCTGACTTCACAAGTGATTAGATAAAAGCACAAAATGGATTTTAAAAAAGTTATTAGCATATCAACCTACCAACAATAAAATGAAGTTGAAAGCAATATCAGTTTATTCTAAAATATTTCCCCCCAACTCGCTCTTCCTTTTCCTCTTACTTTTTCTGGCACAGAGGCATGCTTCCCCCCTTAGAGATTCTTCAGCTCCAAAATATCATGGCTGCCTCCTCAGTGGTACCTCCAGACTTTCTGACTGTGACACTCAAGCCCAATGTGTCTTAGAATTTATTCAGCATATGAATACCAAGAAAAACCTATTTCCAGTAAGTATGTGTAGAAGAGCCAAGTCCTTTAAGCTGAGGAGGTGTCTCTGAAGTGCTGCTCCACCACCTCGTCACACTTATGAAACCCTTCTCCATTCTTAAAGAGCTTTTAAAATGGAGAATGTGTGCTCACTTCAAGAACTCAGCCTGGATCAATTATCAGCCTGATCTGACAAACTGGTCGCATTAAAGCTGTAAACATGTGACTGCAATAAAAAAGCCTTTGCAGAAAAAAATGGAGACTAATTAATCCAAAATCAAATGGATAATGAGTAAAAAGAAAACCATAATTCACACTGATAATTAAAAAAATAAAACCCTCTTAATCTGCCTTATTTTGCATGTATGCTAATTAGGCATAAACTTGCTCATCAACAGCTTATGCCTTTGAACCATCTATTTGATTATAATGTCAAAACAGGCAGTCAGAACTTAATACTGCCTAACTGCACATGCATTCAGTTTCTAAAAGGAATTATACTCCTTTAAACATCTTTACACAAATGCAAATTCCCTTTTAGCTGACTATATATCAATTTTCCTCAATCTCTTTGAGGACCAGGAGAAAACAGTACTTCTGACTTTTAAAACAACTAAGAGGTTAAAGCACAAACTGCTGAAGCAACATACACATATCTGCAAACATTACAAATGCTTCAGTATCTTTACCATACCTTTAACATCTGGATCATCTATATGGGGTTCCAAATTTTCTATCATTTCTTCTAATTCTTTCCTTGTTGCCATAGGAATGCTTGGAGACACTGGCATAGTGAGTTCCTGAATTTCTCTATCGAGTTTTATATCAGAAGTCTGCTGAAGCTCAAAGTCAATATCTATTTCAGGAAGTGGAGTCCTCCAGAAATGGAAAGAGTTGTATAATTCCTGCTCTGAAAGAGAGGTTTCCTGTGAATTCAGCCCAGCCTCCTGCACAGCTGTTGTACAGCAATGAGAACTTTGCTCGTTCTCATCTGCCATTTCCCCACAAGATTCTGAAGGCAAAGTGCAATGGAAGGATGATTCAGTCTGGAAATCACTTTCCCTCTTGGAGTTATTTGACACTGTATTTTGATCTTCTACGACATTTTCAAGTTTTGTTGCAAAATCATCATTATCATCACAATGTGAAGACAGATCCTCTGTCCTGTTGTGCTCTTCATCTGTTGTGCCATCTTCTGTGGTCCTGACTTGCTCACTGCTGAATGCCAAAGAAAATGGACATTAAAAAATCAAAATAGATTTGTTATGCTCTTTCTTGATAACACACATGCTATCAACTTGCTATTTGTCAAAGTACATTTATTTACACCATAACAAAACAGAAGTCATAGAATCACAAAGAGTCAAGGTTGGAAGGGATCTCTAGAAGCCACGTGGGCCAACCTCCTTGCTCAGGTAGGGACAACCAGAACCACTTGCCCAGGACTTGTGTCCAGACAGGTTTTGAGTACTTCAGAGGATGGATACTCCACAGCCTTCATGGACAACCTTTGCCAGTGCTTGGTCATCCTCAGAGTAAAAAAAAAAAAGTAGGTTTTGATGTTCAGAGGGGACCTCCTGTTTGGAGTTGTGGCCATTGACTCTGGTCATGTCACTGAGCATCATTGAAAAGAGTCCAGCTTCATTCTCTTTTCACTCTCCCCTCAGGTGTTTATGAACATTGGTAAGACACCCGCCAGTGAGCCCTCTCTTCTCCAGGCTGCAGTCCCAGCTCTCTCAGACTCTCCCGACAGGAGAGCTCCCACAATCTGTCACTTTGTGGCCCTCCACTGCACCCTCTCCAGTGTGCCTCTCCATGTCTCCCTCTGGATGGCAGCACGACCCTGTGGGTGAAGCAGCCACTCCTGTCAGTTTTGTGTCATCAGCAGACCTGCTGAGGTTACACCCTGCTCCTTTCAGATCACTAAAGAGGTAAAGAGGATGTTAAAAGGACTGGACCCAACCAGTGCTGACCCCTCTTGACACACAGTCAGTGACCTTCAACTACGCGCTGCTGACCAGCGCCATGGGCCAGGCCAGGCCCTCAGCCCACCTCATTATCCCCTCATCCAACCCAACTTCAGCAGCTTCTCCACAAGGATCTTACAGGAGACCATGCCAAAAAAAAAAATCCAGGTACACAGTATACACTGCTCTTCCTTGTCTATCAAGTCAGTCATCTCATCACAGAACATATATCCTAATTCTGCTCTATGGAGATGAGAAGATCCAGATCTTTCCATTTACCAAATATTCAACTTATCCAGGAAAGTTAGTTTTTCTAATAGTTCATGCAGAAGAAGACCAAGGAGGCAAAAGTAATTTGTAGATTTAGCAAATTTACCTATTTTCCTGTGCAGAATCACAATCTTCTGGGTTTTTACCATCTTCTTCTTTAAAGTACTGGCCACTGCTGGATGGATTAGCAAAAGTTGATATGAAAGGCCCCAGAGACTGAAAAGCTGCTTGGCGAACCTAGGGGAAAGGGTCCAAGGTGAAAAAACAAAATTTTATATATATAAATATATATATATAATTATATATAAATCTTGCTGTCCTAGAAAACATAAAATGCCTGCTACTAGGAATTGAAAGGGTCATAAGCCTACTAAAGAAATCAAGAAATCAAGAGCAGAAGCTCTTGTCTGGAAAGAATCTGCCAGATGTCTACAAAATGCCAAGTTTAAAAGCTTATTCCCCACAGCCAAAGGAGCAACAATCTGTTTAGCTAAGAGAAGCAGGTAAATTTGGAAGCTCAGAATTTTAACAACTTGAAAGGAAAAAAACATCATGTACAGAAAACAGACATTTCAGTTTCAGAAATTTAACTGATAAGCATTATATTTCTTTCCCACATGATATGCTGTGCATTTGCTCCTCCTTTCTCCTACTGTTTATGCTCCTCTTCTCAACAATTCTCTATCTCAATTTTTGTTATTTGATTAATTCTGCTGAGCTACAACTTCCATGACTTTCCAAGGTCCATAAGCTCATGCTTCTGTGCAGATGATCCTTTGCTCTTGGAAGTTGTCTGCTTAGTAACAAACTTAAGGTTTAAGAGTAAATCTTCAAGATGGCAAATAATAAAAAACCCCAACCAAACAAAAAACCAACCTACCCTCCCAACAAGAACAAAAAAAATCCCACCTAACCCCCCTAAAAAAACCCGCAAACAAAAACCCATCACCTAAGAAACAATACAATTTTAATTAATAAGAAACTCCCCACCATCAACATCAAAAACATCCACAAAACCCAAAACTAATCAACCTCCAAACCAACCACAAACTCCACCATGGCCTCCATCAAAAAACAACATGGTGGCAGGGAACCTGAAGAAGAATAAGTATATCATAATTTATTTTCCAGTTTTGTTAATGATTCTCAGCTGTGTTAATCACAGGCAATTCTGTAGCTCAAAAAAGCTACTTCATTGGCAGTTTTTCTTACATACTGCTGTAAAAATGTGAGGGACTCTCTACACCCACCAATGAACTAACCAGTTTAAGAACAATTTTGCTTGAGGTGCATGAAATAGGTTAGATTACCCACACCCATGAGAAGTTCTACATAGAGTATTGCAGTAAAATCCTTCAAATACGACAGCTATTCAAAAAACAAAAAGCAATTCTTACCCATCGTGAAGGATCACTAATCAAATTAATAAAAAGGGTTGACAATTTTGTCCTCCGGACTTCCTGTGATGTTGCACAAGAAACTGCCATGAAGCACTCAGCACAGGCTTTCCTAACTCCCCACACATTATCAGAGCAGAGCTGGAAAAACCTTGGCAGCTGTTAGGAATACAGTGAGTGAGTTTGCACTTGTTTCAAAACAGGTTCTCTTTTCACATTCATTTTTCTTCACCTGGTTGTCCACCTTCATACTTAGATGCACAGTTTAACATTTGCAAGACAAAGAACACATATGCAGTAGCACCATGCCTCTAATCTGCTGCTTTCATATTACTTATGGATACAGATAAGGAAAATTCACCTGTTTGAAGAATTGCAAGGAAGTACTAACTCTTAAGAATGATTTATACTCCCAAAACGTACCCCAAAAGCCCAACTTCAAAAATACCCCCAAGACCAAGAAACCTATTGTAAGACAAGTCTACACCATTCATGTCCACACCATTCTTTTAAATCAGAGACAAGAAAAATAATACTGGTGCATTATTAGGAAGCAATTCTTTACTGCAAGGTAAGGCACTGGAACACACTGCCCAGGTAGATTGAGGATGCCCCAAGCCTGGAAGTCCTCAAGGCCAGGTGGGTAAGGTCTTGAATAACCTGATCTAGAGGAAGGCATCCCTGCCCATGACAGGAGAGGTTGGAACTAGATGATCTTTAAGGTTCCTTCCAAACCTTAACATTTTTTGATTCTATGATTAGCATTTTACCTATCAGAGATCACTTCAGATTTTTTGTAAGATTCTTACTGAAGTAACAAACAGCATCTTCAGAAAGAAAAAACTTCCCTTTCTACCTACACTTCTCATTGTTAGATTTATCGACCTCTGCCACCGTCTATCCTACAATGCAACTGCAAAGAAGAACAGGGGAATAAGAGAAAGACTGCATTTGCCCAAGAGAAAACATGTTTGAACAGAGCAGTGGTTTTACTAATATAACTGAAGCATTTTGAAGGTGCTCAGGTGCTTGGGCTTTTTGGACACAGTAATGGTAAGGGTGGACAGAGTGCAGGTGAGGCACAGCTGCCTTGGCTTTGCAACAGGCACAGTGACAAAATATGACTAATAATTCAGTGGCTGTTGCTACAGCCTTGTTCACATTTATTAATGTTCAGCTGTCCCCTACTCTCTGCAGCCAAGTATCCTGGACTTTGCCTCTAATTTAAAAAAGCTTTTAGATTAGAAAATGAAGTTTTATCATTTAGCTTTTTACACCCCTCCTTTTTTTTAACAGTAATCCAAGAAGAGCAGAAAATGGCATTTTCTGTTATAGAAAGAGAACCCCAGCTGTCCTGTCACACATTACTGCTTTCAAATGAAATAATCATCACTTTTTATTGCATAGTAGTTTAAGTGCACCCTCTACAAAGTTTTAATCCAAATTCATTACGCTAATCACTAAAAGGGCAGTTGTGTGAGAGAAATCAATTTACATCCCAAATCAGGAAGCATATGGGATGCAAATCCACACTACTAAACTTCACTACCAAATGACTTGAATCACTCAATAGCTAGAGAAAAATGCAGCAAATGCTTTAAGAGCATAAGAAATGGCCTGGCAGCCACAACAGGCCTACCTGTCCCAAGTGCAAAAAGCTGCAGAGCCTTTCAGCCAAGTCATGCCTGCATTTACACTGTCCATGTAAGTAAGTCCCTCACTAATTCAGGGCATTGATTCATCAGCCTCAGCTGGCCCTCAACAAGCTCACTGTCCACATTCCCAAGAGGAGAAAGCCTGAAGAGCTTTCAGAGCTCCAGAGCCTGCCAAGATAATTTCTCCTCCCTAGCCTTGTCACATCTCCAAATCCATCAACATCCACTAGCTCCCCAGACCCACCATGGGAAAGCGTGCACAGTTAAGGATCCTGTTCTCACCACTCCATCCAGCTCCCTGCTCTTCCATTTTGAATTTGTCTCTCTTCTCTTTATTTCATTTTTTATTTCTGAGATTTACTTCTTGACTTTACTTTCTCTTTCCCTCCTTTCCAGGAGGCTGTTTGAGGCAGGAAAACTGACTTGAAGAGATTAAATCAATACATAAGCCTCAGCACTCCCAGCACTTTATTCCCCCTGCCACACTCCCCTGTGTCTGCAATCTCTCATGAACTGCCCTTCTTCTGTAGCTTGTCTGGCTCCACTCCTGAATTGTATTAAGAAGAAAAACCCTTTAAGAAATGGCTTACCAGCATTTCTTCAGTGGCTTGCTGTCCAACCACACTGCAGATATCTCCAAAATTGGCTGCACATACCTTGCAGACAGAATGCAAGAAATAAAGACTAAGACCACAGCTTTAATACAGCAAAATCCAAGGGGAAAAAAATCAACAACTTTTAAAATCAGAAAAATATGTTTTGGTGCAAACTCATTATGGGCTACTTTCCCATTCTATCATTTTCTCCGTTTTTAAAAGATAAGTAATTTTATTTTCTTAAAAATTAGTCAGTCTTTTTAATCACAGAACCGCAGAACTTAAATGAAAATAAAAGAGGATAAAATGTATTTGAGGTGCTGTCAAATTAAAGAACACATGCAGCTATCAAGGGAAATAAGCTATCCAGTGGCAGGATGAGAAAACACTGCCACTGGATAGCTTATAACTCCACACCTAAACATCATGATGGAATACTGGTTTACTTCATCTTTGATGAAGATGAGCATCTTGAATTCCATCTGTGCACAGAGATATGAGCTCAGGTGGCTGATGCAGCACCAGCCACAGTTGCTCCATATTTTCCTGGCTACCAACACAATCATAAGGACAAACACCCAATCACACTGCAGCCACCTACAGCATAAGGACAAGCAGATTCTTTCTTTGTTTCTAGTAATAAGGGTAGTGATTCTGGAAAAAAAATCTCATTGTCAAACATTAAAATTTGTGGAAATGCGAGAAACAAAAACCCCCACAGCTTTCACTTACACGTCACAAATGAGATCTACCAGGGAAGTTTCTTAGTCACATGCAAGTTCCAAGCACATAACACATTTTGTCACAGATAATCCAGAGCAGATGCCCGTAATTCATACCTTACGAACATGAAACATCCTGCAGTCACAGCACATCTCACAGAACCTGGGAAGCACAAGTCTTTCCGTGATGTCCTTCCCAACCATGGAGGCCATTTTGCACATAATCTAATGGCAAGACAGACACTAATCAGAGATGCTTGCATAACCCACCATTCTGTGCCAGCTAAGCAGAGGCTTTTTACTTCTACTCTTTGTTCTGATGAACATAATTTTACTGAAAACTGTCAAAAATAGTGAAAACAAAATGCCATTTAAATTGAAAAGGTCTGGCCACTTTTGCAAAGAACTGTTTCCCATTTACTTGTCATGACATGACACAAGTGTACAAGATGACATTGATCTTCCAATAAAGTGAATGAAATTCCCAGCTAACAAAGATAATTAGACTCTTAGAAATTATTCTCCTGTGTTACCCAATAGATCTTAAAAAAAAGTACATGATTCTTTTACTATTTCAACACAAAATGTATATATGTACAATTAACAGAAAATTATTGACAATATGCTTAAGAGACTTCTGAGTCCTGTATGGTTTAAAATTAAATACAACATCACACTGCATACATGCAACTCCCAAACATAAAATTCCCAAAGAAATGTATCACATCAAAAAAATCCCTCTTCCCCTCTAACTGCTCCTTCATTCTAATTTGTACTGAAACTTAAAAAAGCTTTAAAAAGCAAAAAGAATTTTACATTTACCATTCCCCATCACGTCAGTAGAACTACTTACATTCATTCCTCTATAATAACAAATGATGGCTCTTCTAACCTCTAGGGGGTTGATGAGGTACAGAAATTTCTGTCAAGTTTCAATATCTTCAAAACCATGAAGACAGATAAAACTAATCTGCTTATACTTTATTCCCTTATGTAGTTGTAAGCTTCATCAAGAAGCACTAGAAATTTGGTGCCAAATCCAACAGTGACCGAGACTTTTTATTGTTTATCAGTCTAGCCACTGTAGGAAAGTAAAATATTAAATGAGGTCCCTCTCATGCAAAAAGAACAGAAAAAAATTCACCCAGCAGAAAGCAGCAATATAAATTGCAATTAAAAAAGGAAACAAAAGGGCCTACATCTGCCATTTTTCCATTATAAATTAACTCATCTACTAACTATTTTAATTCAACACATACATTTTAATTACAAAGGTTGTGTCTAATGCAAAAAAATGGCCACCAACCAACCAACCATGAGTTAATCAACTCAGATGCTTATTACTTTGTCCAATAAAACATCACAAAATCAATAAAGTGAATAGACATACAGCAAAGAGCAAAAGAACTGAGGCATTAAAGCTTTTGAACTGATGGAAATTTTCCACACAGGCAATTTAAACTTCCATAAAATAAACAGACAAACATTCAAAAAACTAAAAAGCCAACACAGCAGATGCTTTAGGAGTCAATACAATTAATCCCCTGCACTGTCTTGTCGAGCTGGAGTTTTTTAAATAGCATATCTAAGTTTTTGAATTTAAATCTTAACTTGACCAGAGTGTACAGCACTGACACAGCACAGAAGTTGTTACAGATTTGTTACGGAGAGGGAATATAACATTTTCTTTTTAGTAATGGCTGTGCAACTTGGAAACACACCACCACCATTGCACTATCAAGCATTCAGGCAAACTTTTGGCTGTGTGATTTGGCACTGCTGTTACTTACAGCCACAGCTTCTGTCTTCACATCGTCATTGCTGTCTGGAGCTGTCAGATCTATCAGCACAGGGCACACTTTGGTCTCCACATCGTATCTCTCAATGAGTTCTTGCTCCAACAGCACTAACAACGCTGCCTGGCTTGTCTTTCTGACCTGCCACAAAAAGACAAAATTGAACCAAGCAATTCCAAGACAGATTTATTTTTTGAAATACATGTGTGCTGTATTTTGGAAGGTGTACCTATATACCAACACACAGCAGTACTAACTGCACACAGTGACAGGACAAGTGCTCCACACGTGCTTCTGCAAGCACTTCCTGTTTGCTGTCCTGTGTTTTGGGAAGTATGGAGGGGGATATCTGCTGTAGCTGACAATGTGCAGGTGTTTCTTGGGTTCACACACAATTTGTTTTAATGTCAAAAAGGGCAGTCATGGCAAATTTGAACCAAACGTGCAAAGAAAAAGCAACGCAATTAATGGAGAGTAACAAATTTCTAACACTGAACAAATCTTCTTTTTCTGAGATTACCCAGAAATAGGCTGGCAAGGAGAAACTGTGTTTATTTCCAATGCCTTTAAATTCTGAGACACAATTCTGCTTAGTCCCAATTAAAAAAAAAAAAGTGCAAAAATAAGATACCCATTATTGATGTCATAGCTTGCTAACCCCTACCTCCAAAAGGAATAATTTCACCAGAAGAGAAAACATTACATACAGCAAGAGACTACATATACTGCAATGCAGCAATTTTGGAAACACCTTTGAGCTCTTTGTTTCAGAGATCCACAGCCCAATGAACTATTCAAGAGACGTTAACACAATGAAAACAATCACTGAATATTCTAGCAGGAGAACATCAAACAAAAGTAGAGTTGTTGTATTATACATGAATTAGCAAAACAACTACTAAGAAAAATAGGTTTGGGTAGTTATTTTTAACTCTGCAAATTCTGAAAAGGGCAAGGAAAAAAGTGACAAACTCAAGAGGCCTAAAATATTGAAAATAATGTCTCAACTAGCATTAGTCTAGTCTGAAATGACAGGAGAAGCCTCAAGAAACTTTGAACAAGCTAACTTATACATGCAGAGAGACAAACCACGAGTTCAATCCAAAAAGTATATTGGATTGATATACAAATAACCGGTAATGAAGGCACATCATGGTGTTAAAACCTGAATTATACAAAGGACTCAGTTTTTTTTACTACTATTCCTTTTTGCCAGAATTTAAATTGTGCAAACTTGTCTAAATGACTAATTTTATCCATGTGAATACAATATCAGATAAAAGGCCCCAGATCAGGACAGATCACATGAGATGTAAAAAATGGTCATTACATTTTCTTTAAAAGATTTTCTTTAATATTTAAGTAAATTTATAGTACCATGTATTTCATGTCCATTCCAAATCCTTATATCCCAAAATATAACACACTTGTACCACACTAAATTTAAATAATTTGGCATCACAACAGTATTTCACCAGCTACCAGAAACATACCTGGTTATTCTGGTCGGCGAGGTATCGCACCACAATCGGTAGCAGGTATTTGGAAAAAGCATAAGGGATTGAAGGTCTGTTTTCTTGACAGAACATGGCAATATGAGGCACCTGCTCCATCAGTTCTGCCCGCACTGTTGGCTCTGTAAGGGTCAAAACAAAACCAAAAAATTGGCACAATATATGTTTACAAGCATGCTCCCAGATCCTGCAAGAGTAAGCTTCTTACAGTACCCTACATACAAAGTATGGTCTCAGGTGTTCATGTCAGTGTGTTTGTCAAGCTTCATTTTGACATCTTTTTACAAAACCAGATAGTACACTCTCTGCTGCTGAACTACGAAAAAGTCACATTCTTAGTAATTAAAAAAAAAGAGGTATAAGACAGCCAGCCATCAAACATTATGAGTATCAGAATGTGATGGTGTTTGCAGGGGTCTTAAGATGAGGGAAGAGACAAGAACATTGACTTCATGTTTCAGAAGGCTTGATTTATTATTTTATGATATATATTATATTAAAACTATACTAAAAGAATAGAAGAAAGGATTTCATCAGAAGGCTAGCTAAGAATAGAAAAGGAATGATAACAAAGGCTTGTGACTGACCGAGACAGTCTGGACATCTTGACTGTGACTGGGCATTAATTAGAAACAACCACATGAGACCAATCACAGATCCACCTGTTCCATTCCACAGCAGCAGATAACCATTGTTTACATTTTGTTCCTGAGGCCTCTCAGCTTCTCAGGAGAAAAAATCCTAAGGAAAGGATTTTTCAGAAAATATCATGGCTACATCAGAGTTTTCCAAACTCCCTACGAGCATCACCTACTTCACAGAAACCTCCCATGCTGAAAGAAAGTCAGCCCAGAACTTGCACCACTGTAAGAAGAAAGGAATTGAGGGGGAGTCTGGGCCACGGCCTCTCAGGAAAGATCCCACTGAGCAGGACAGCCAGCGATAACCACAGACGCTGTTCTTCATTCTTTGCTTTTTAAGGCTACTGATGTAATTGTCAGATGGAAAAGGAAAGCATCTCTCCAGCTGCTTCTGCTAAACCTTTGAGATGTGTTTCTCACCAAAGTTGGTGATTATTTAAAAAATATTTAATTAAATTTTTAAATTCAAGAAATGGTACACTGCCTGGATGAATCCTAATCCCCACAGAATATGCACATATATGTGGGGGATGACAGAAGAAGCAAGAGAAACAATACAGATGTAGATTCAATTACAATTATTAGAAAAACAGATTCAATTTAAGAAGCAGGACCTTATTACGTGCCTAACTTCCCCCTGGGGATAAAAAAAAATCTGAACTGAGTACCTCTGCCTTTTCAGGATTTGCTGATATATGCAGTTACCACTGGTCTACTGATTACTTACAAAAAGGCATAACATCAGTTACTCTCAAACTATACTGATTTGATTTAGAATATTTTAAATAATAAGATGTATGTCTCACAGGATAGATACATATGCCTTACTAAATTTTTACCTAAAAGTTGTTCAGGCAAAAATGATATAACCTGAACCATCTTCCTTGGAATACTTGTAATTAACATGATTCATTAAAAATACAACCTTTTGTTAAACAGAAGCATGCAACATGCATTTGTATTTGACATGGCAAATGTGTGCAGCACTTGGCTTTCTTGAACACCGGCTACAAGTGTAAACTCAGGTCTGAATAAAACATAACAAAGACAAAGCAAGTCCCCTGCTGTGTGCAGTCTTTTCTTCACTGAGAACAATGAGAACAGAAAAGATCACCGCACACAAAGTAATTAAATGCCTATGGGGTCCAGTTCCTTCACTACAGACTTAAATTACTTTTCCTATAGAAAAACATACCAAAATCAGAGTTGGAAGGGACCTTATAGAACATCTAGTTCCAACCCCTGCGGGTTGGGGTTCCACTAGACAGGTTGCTCAAAGCCCTATCCAACCTGGCCTTGAACACTTTCAGGGATACTCTGGAAAGTTTATGAGTTGCTGAACAAGTTGCAAAATACAAAATGAAGTCTCAGACAAATCAATATCGTATAGGTTTGCTGTTCATGACAATAAAGTTAAAAAGTCTTCCCATCTCTTCTGTATCTCTTCCCAAATGTTATCAGGAGCACACAGGAGAAAAACATTTTTGTTTAAACTTCAGATGCTCTGAAACATGTGCAGGTTGAACTCCATAAGCAATACTGGCATCCTGAAGTTCATATTGAAGAAGTCAGATCCTGAAGAACACTACACAAACTATGTGCAAGTTTTAGCAGATCTAACAAAAACTCACACCTTAACAAAATGCTGAACTGTAGTCTCGTGATCAAACATTCCATTTGTAGCACTAAAGGTAACAGCTGACCAAAACATGCACCTGTAACTAGGACAAACTAATAGTTAATGAGATTATTAATTCTGAAAGTTAGAGTCTCCATATTATACTAATGCAAAGAAAGAAAATATTCCTATTGTAGTAACTCATCTGCTTCCTTATAAAAATGTCAGAGCAGTTCTTAGAACGCAAGGAAGAGAAGATGAAATTGTTCATTAGGATGAAGTGGTGTCGGGGAGAGTCAACCAAAGTAGATTGGGTGCTTTCAAGAGTCAAGTTGGCAAAAACACCTATTTTATTCCGACATTTAATTCAGTTCTGGTTCTTTTATGTGACAAGGCCTGGCTTCTTCAGTTCTGGAAGATGGGCTTGAAGTGTGCCTGAGAAGGGAGTCCTTTCACATGCCAACTTTGACACATCAATGTGCATTTTTTCCACCTGTGTGACAGCCTGCTCAAAGGTGGCTGAGTTAAAGAAGCCTTGCACCCTCCATTTGCAACTGCCTAGTATCCACTGAAAGCAGAGCAAGAGATTGTCTCGGCAAACAGGCTGTACACCTGAGCAAACTGCTCCCAAGAGTAATTTGTTTGAAAAGGGTGAAGGTGGCAAACAGAGCAAGATGAGGAACCATCAGGCTGGGCAAGGAGGACAGGAACTTGATGGTAAAGAAATAGGAACCAGTGCCCAAAGCCAAGGCTGGAGGAACTCATGCCCACCTTTCCCAGGTTAAAGGGGATGGAGAGTAAGCAAAATCAATCTGACTGAGGCTGCATGCACAGCAGCAGTTCTTCTTAAATGGCTTCTAAATTTGCTTCGGGCAGTTCCCACCCTCCCAGACACAAAACCTGCAGCTTCCATTTATGCCAATGCTACTGTTCATGCAGCCAGACAACAAATCCTATCAAAGAACTGATCTAGCTGATGCAGCTTTTGCCTCACCACAGCAGCATAATTAAACAGCAAGAACTGGCACTTAATATTGATCTCCCTGTGCAATCACATAATTCCCTCAAGTAGCAGAATTATCTGATGATGAAAGCAAGCAATGGTAAAAGGTGCTAGAACTGAGGGAAAGAAGCAAAATATTGGGAAAGCAAATTTATTCCTCTTTCTAGTGGGAAGCTGTGCAAAATGTTCAAGCCAGGCTCTCCACAGAGTAACAGCACACTACTCATTTGATCACAGTCTGAACTCTGTCTTGATGCTGAAGAAATAGCTCTGCAATCAAAGACAACAAGAACTCTGTATTAAATATATCAAGAGCTGTGTACATACTTTGGACATGAGGCACTCAAAATGGGGAGACTGTTTCCATACCTCTTTGACACCTTCAAAGTTTGCCCACCCACTGAAAAAGCAGTGGCAACACTCCCTTTCCCTAAATTGATGAGGTTTGCTGTGAAACAGGATTTATACATTTCTTTATGAAGCACTCCAGCAAGAGTGCAGAATGTACCAAAACCACGAGATCCTTTTCCTTCTGAACAGGGCTCATCTATTATGCAGCACTTATGTCATCTGCCTAACAATACTAATGACCTGCAGATGTAAAGTGAGCCCCTTCCTTCCTGAGCTACCAAGTCAGCTCTGGCTTTGTGAAGAACACGGGCAGATGAGACGATGCAATTAAAGATTTGAAACATTCATACCCAGGAGTGAATTAGAACTGTAAAGTCACCTTAGTTCTTACATTCCCTAACTTTTAAGTACCTGGCTCTGGGATCTTTGTAAGGTCAATTCAAAGCAGCAAACAAGGAGAGCTGTGTAGGGAACTGGCTGTGTAACACAACACTGTAATTCGCCATCAAAAGGCGTTTGTGCTGTTCTGGGGAATTACTGCTGCTATGCAAGAACCTGAACCTTAAGCTTACCAATTTAGATAAGAGCTCAATTCTTCCAAAGGCTGAGGCATATGTTCCAGTGTGTACTGAATAGAGCCTAATCTTGCAGTCTGATGCAGTTACAGTAGAGCTTTTTTTTGCATTCTGTTTCCTTAAGACCCAGGCAACAATGCCAAAAAAAAATCCACTGAAGTCAGAGTGCTTTCTTATTCTCTTCATCTATTCCTCAGCTTTGTCTTTAGCTTGAACAGGTGGCAGCTCCAAGCAGGGATTCCAGGAGGCTTCAAGACATAACAGTGTCTGCCACTCCAGTTTAAACCTCCCTGTTGTTTTAAACCAAATTTACAGCTTGGTCATTGTGTTAGTTCTGGCCAGCGTTAATTTTCTTCACGGTAGCTGGTATGGGGCCATGTTTTTTATTTTTGCAGGAAATAGGGTTGATAAGGGATGTTTTAGTTATTGCTGAGCAACACTTACACAGAGCAGGGCCTCTTCTGCCTTTCACCCCACCTCATCAGCAATCAGCAGGAGACACACAAAGTGGGGATGCAGCCAGGACAGCTGATCCCAACTGACCACAGGGACACCCCAGAGCATGGTGTCATGCTGATCATACAGAGCTGAGGGAGGAGGAGGAATGGGGGAAGCTTGGAATGGTGGTGTTCATGCTCCCAAGTCACTGTCAGGTGCGACAGAGCCCCTTCATCTGGGGATGGCTCAATAGCTTCCTGCCCATGGGAGTGGTGTATGAATTCCTCTCACATTCGCAGGGAAGAAGGCAGCTTAAACATTGTTTCCAGCACAATCAATTCAAACATGGCCCAATATTAGTTACTATAAAGAAAATTAACTCTACCTCTGCCAAAGCCAGCAGTTATCAACAGAGTGAACAGTGCACAGCAGGTACAAGTTGCTTTGTAAAGCATGAGCTCATCCAGCTGGAGAATACGCCTGCACTCTGTGTTCT